GATGGTCGAAATCTCAATAGAAGCACCATTCTCCATCCTGGACGAGCAGGCCAGTTCAACTTTAACAATTATCGATAACCATCGTGCACTATGTATCGTTCTGCGCTGTGACAAGCCGTACCGTACCACGTCGTGTCGCTTCACGTGCTCATCTCCGTCCGAGGAAGACGTATGCGCACGTGCACGGTGTGTGTTATCGCCGTTCACGCGTTCGCTTATCGTAAGTGAGAAGATTGTAGAAGACCATCAACAGGAAGATGTTTGCCACCGATAACATCAGCGGCATTTTCCAACGTATTAACCAAGCCTGAATTTACCATAACAGTATACTGCTTCATGCATTACTCATGAAGTAATTGCTGTCCAGCAGCATTGCTGTCAAAAGTGACCACTGGCTAATAGAATAGACTTGAATTTTCCAGAAATTATGTAAAATCGACCCTAACGAGTGGCAGAGAGAGAAACTGCTAGTGGCAGGGAGAAAAATGCGCGGATCAACTAGAAATGCGAAAAAACGAACCCTGAAGGCGGGATGGAATAGATATCGGAGAGGATTGCTGCGCAGTAACTGTTCCTCTTCCAGGAGGCGCTGTAACTCTTGACGCTGATGTGAAGCCAGGCGTGCCGCTTCTTCTCTCCGCAGATGTACTCCGGTTTCCTCAAGTTCCGCTAAGTTCGGCAACGATCCGCGTGCCTCGGCCTCGCCTGGCCCGCCGCCAGCTCCGCGTCCTCTCGAATCATCGAAACGTTTATCATCAGCTGTGGCCAGTGTCGATCGCCTATATAGATTCTGCAATTTCACCAGATTTTTTTTGCCTGCCGATATATGTTAGCCTATCATCGGATAATTAGTTTACACTAGGCAGCAAAAGAAAAAAAAACTGTCAACAGCCCTCATTTTCCTCGACTGAGTGCTAATTAAAAAAAAGACTGTTAATTCATAATCCTTTTCTCATAGTTGTATAGCTGGCAGTTTTCCCAGTTTTTATGCGTTTACTTTGTGCAGT